AAGGGGTTAGTAATACATTAATTACATGGAGAGAAAGAAGGAATCAGGAGAGTGAAAGTAAGAGGGAGGGAGAGAGAGAGAGAGGGAGAGAGAGAGAGAGAGAGAGAGAGAGAGAGAGAGAGAGAGAGAGAGAGAGAGGGGGGGGGGGGGGAGTATGTGTATATGTATACTCATACACACTACATATACACACATTTTTCTCCAAAATAATACTTAATCCAATAAGAAATAAAAACAATTAAGCCACATTTCATGCTAAAGGTATAACATTTTAACATTAACACTTTTATGCATTGCTATACAAATCCGTTTGCATGTATAACTACAGAAATACAGTGTATAAAACAGTAAACAGAACAAAACGAGGAAATTGATTTAAGAATAACTCTCACCAGACTAACAGCAGCAATAGCCTGAGAGCCTCTGCGGAGTGACAGACAGCAACAGCATTTGTTATATACTATGACACTTTCCTCTGCAGCCCTGTTGGTAATAGGACAAAATTTAGAAATAGAGTGCAGTAATAAGGGGAACAAGAGGGACGGAACGAGACAGACAGACTGACAGACAGACAGACAGACGGACAAACAGACAGACAGACAGACAGACTGACTGACAGACAAACAGAGACAGACAGAAACAGAGACAGACAGACAGAAACAGACAGAGACAGAGGCAGACAGACAGAAATACAGAGAGATAGACAGATAGAAAGAGAAAGAGAGAGAGAGAGAATGAGAGCCCCACCCATTAAAACGTAGAAAATATTTCACTAACACGTCACTGGACAAATTTCCATCAAAAAGAAATTGAGACCATGTAGTGTATATTCCATACCATATCTTACAAAATCACTTCCGGTTCCTCAATTTCATATCTCGAACCTCTTGGAAATATATGTGATAATGATAAGGATGATAGAAAAGATAATGATGATAAATATAATGATGCATATTATTCCCATGATGTAGATGCATATCATTTATAATAATGATGATAATGATATTTATAATTATAATAAAAACAATAATAATGATATTGTATTAAAACAACAACAACAATGATAATAATAATGATAATAATAATAATAATGATAATAATGATAATGATAATAATCATGATGATGATGATAATGATAATAATAATAATAATAATAATGATAGAAATGATGATCATGATAATTGTTATTATTGTTATTTATTGTTGTTGGTGGTGCTGCAGTCGTTGTTATGACAACAAAAACAACAACAACAACAATAATAATAATAATGATAATAATAATAATAATAATAATAATAATAGTAATAATAATAATAATAATAATAATAATAATAATAATAATAATAATAATAGTTATAATAATAATAATAATAATAATAATAATAATAATAATAATAATAGTTATAATAATAAAACTATAAGAAGAAGAAGAATAGTAATAATGATAACAATAACATCAACAACAACAACAATAATAATAATAATGATAATAATAATAATAGTAATAATGATAATAATAAAAATAATAATAAGAACAATAATGATAGCAATAATGATGATAATAATAATAATCAAAATAGTAATGATAATTGGAATGGCGATGACGATGCTGAAAAAGTATTAATAGTAATAATAACAATAATGATAGTAATAGCAAAACCAAGAATAATATTGATAATAATAATAATAATAATAATAATAATAATAATAATAATAATAATAATAATAATAATAATAATAATATCAATGGCAGCAAAAAACAACAACATTAATAATATTAGTAATAATAATGATAATAATAATTATTTTTATTACATTATCACTATAATGGCAATCAGCCTCATCATCATTACAACAATAAGTGTGAACAATACGTAGCAAGACCGGATGGCAGATTCACACCTCAGTCCAAGCAAATGCCTTTCTCCTTGCGCAGGATGCAGGTGCTGCCCTCCTTTCTCTTTTCACACAGGAATAAACATCCGCCCTCCAAGGAAACCGCCGCATAAAAGGGCACGTGCCTAAGACACAGGGGGGACAGAAGGAGACACGGCAGACAGGCCAAGCGACACAGGGTCCAGCTCCACCACCTCGTCCTCCACCCGGGGACACGGGGGTCTCTTGGGGGTCTCATATCTACCTTCAGAAATAAACCAGCAAGTTAAGACCCCTTTCATTGACCGCCCCAAGACCATCTCTGTTACGCTTACATCTAGTGGCTTGCGTGGTCACTTACGCTTACATCTGATGGCAGCGGTGATCAAGGACCTCACAACGCCTTACGCTTACCTCCTCGCCGACGCCGATCCATGCTATCTGCCTACAAGCTACTCCTGTCGAAGTGCCTCCTCGCCTCCTTTAACGCCCAGCCATCGCTACCAAGTCTTCTTCGCACCATGTCTACCCTACTACTTCGTGCTGACTACTCACGCCTGTGCTACCCTCCTGATGAAGTCGCTGACGATATGTTCCCGCACTCTACGCCGCCACAAATCCGGCTCATCTACCTCGCCACGTCTTCACGAACCTTCGTCAGCACAACCATGGAGCCGCCATTCTACTCAGCACCACCAATACTTCCTAGCTACTATTGAAAGTAAGTGTACCTATTAGTGCCAGATTAGCTATTTCCCTCCCTATACCCACCCACACCTTGCATAGAAGTTGCCCTCTTTCAAATTCAAGTACATGCCACTCAACGAACACAAACTGCTAACTATATGATAAATAACTTCTCGCTGTCAACCATTGTTTTTTCAACACAACAAGCGAAGTCACACACTGAGATCAAACAAAAGTGACACCCACCCACACCTCCCACCTCATTCCCCTTCCCTAACCATACTTTAATTGCTATGGTATTTTTCTGTTATTGTATTTTATCTAATGTTTATTATTGTTGTTTTCACATTGCAGTTCATTATATTTTATTTTCTCTTAGGACAAATAACTATGTATTGATATGTTCGATTTTCCCCGTTATGTTATTCATATTTACTGCTACGATATTCGCTGTGATGTTATTGTTTTCACCTGCATACTGTACCCTATTAGTAAGTAACTCGTTACTACTTCCTCTATGAATGTGCGTATATCGTTCTGTCTTTCACAACACCTGTATTTACTTATACTCCCCACGCTAATCGTTCGCTTTTTCACACATAGGTTTAAGATACATGTCGATTACCTGCCTTAGGCCCAAACCCACTTGCCTGCCCACTCCGCACGGATTTCACCCTAGGATTATGAATTTTACTAAGTGCCATCCCTAAGACTTTCAAATGAACCCAAATCGCTTTCATGACGTCCTCTCGAAGTTTGATATCTTATCCGCATCTATGCTAGAATTTATGCTTCTTTAGTTTAAGGAATTGGTGAATATGTAACTTGTATCTGACTGATGGTAGGTAGTCTATTGCAAATGATCATAACGATGATAATGCATTACAGGACACCATACTTTCATACAGGCTTACATTATTATTATCACCGCAAGTTAATTTTAAGCCCGGCTCATGGCCGTAACGAAAGAATCCTGCGCCCGCCGCACCGAGATATTACTTACGCTCATACGATTGAAGCGCCCGAAACGCGCACGCCCGGCTCAAGGCCGTAAACGAATGAATCCTGCGCCCGCCGCACCGCGATGTTATTTACTCTCATACGATTGAAGCGCCCCAGACGCGCACGCCCGGCACATGGCCGTAAACGGAGGAATCCTGCGCCCGCCGCACACTTACGCTCATACGATTGAAGCGCCGAGACGCGCACTGTTAGAATTAAGTTCAGGCCTAGCTGCCTATATGTTCGAAGCATATATACTTGCCTATTTATCCCAAAGATATGGAATTCTTGTCCAATTACTTTTTCTCTCTTCGGTATGATGGTACTCTACAGAACTCGCTAATCCTAACAAATCCATGTAATTAACACCCACTTACTTGACACATTACCCTTCTCGTAACAAATTATTCTTATTATGCCCTCATTTTTTTTCTTGCAACTTAGTAAGGTGATTGACAAACACATTATTATCCTCCTCCTTAGCCCTTTTACTGGCCTGGTACACATATATTTCAGCTTCTGAAGATGATTGACCCTCCTCGCTACTGAATGTTGCACCTCAGCGCGAAACCACCGCCGCACCCGCTCCGCTACCTTGGCACGCGACGACCCAAGCGACCATCGGATCACCAGGAACCATCTGTAGATACCGAACAGAACCTGTATCCCTATGCGGTACTGCAGTGTTCCAGCGTTGCAGACGGCTCGAGGACGAGCCTTTCGCGCGGCCGAGCGATGTGAACAATACGTAGCAAGACCGGATGGCAGATTCACACCTCAGTCCAAGCAAATGCCTTTCTCCTTGCGCAGGATGCAGGTGCTGCCCTCCTTTCTCTTTTCACACAGGAATAAACATCCGCCCTCCAAGGAAACCGCCGCATAAAAGGGCACGTGCCTAAGACACAGGGGGGACAGAGGAGACACGGCAGACAGGCCAAGCGACACAAGGGTCCAGCTCCACCACCTCGTCCTCCACCCGGGGACACGGGGGTCTCTTGGGGGTCTCATGTCTATCTTCAGAAATAAACCATCAAGTTAAGACCCTTTTCATTGACCGCTCCAAGACCATCTCTGTTACGCTTACATCTAGTGGCTTGTGTGGTCATTTACGCTTTCATCTGATGGCAGCGGTGATCAAGAACCTCACAACGCCTTACGCTTACAATAAGTACTGAAGAAGACGAAAAGTGATA